TATATATAATATATATATATATAATATTCATTGAAATCTTAAGCAAATACTTTTAATGCAGAAGCCATTAAAATGTCAGTGATTTCATCTATATATAACCAATAACAACTTTCTAAAAATGCATTTATTAATATAATAAAATAAAATTTTCTCAAAATATATATAACTTTAAAGCTTAATAATTAATTACATCCATTAAAAAAAAAATCAATACAAAACTAATTAACATTTATTAATAATTTTTATTAATTTTCATTACATATAATTTGAATTTTAAACAAATTAAAACAACCTAATTTGTCACCAACTTAAGCTTATATACTAAAGCTTATATTAGCCATTTATTTTCATTTTTAATGAACATTTATAATAATAAATAAAATTAATATAATAAACAATTAACATTGTTTAAATAAACAATCGATTCTTGCTAAATATAATGCATTAAGTAAGTAACTTTAATAGGATCGACGTCCTAGAGATAAGATAAACATTATTCGAATAGATTTAGCATTCGGTGAGGAATGACAGCAATGTCGAGAATGCCAAGCTTCGGTTTTAGATATGCCCGAAAGGAATAAAATGTCATTAAGGTCAAGAGTCGAGCTAGATGTCATAAGGTTCAAAAAGGAATATCTCGTCACCAGAAATAAATTTGTCACATATTCCACCAGGATGCAATCAACTTTTAATGTGGAATTAACTACTATTTGAAGTTATTAATGTATTTAAATACAATTTTCATACATAGTATGATTTATTTAATACTGTTAATGATAATTAAGCTCTATTTAGTTATCATTATAATGAAAATTAAAAATTATTCCACTGAGAAAAATGTATATGAATTACAAAGAACTTAACGAATAAAAGCTTATTAAATAATAAGTAGAATATATTCTATATTAATGCAGAAATATGTATAGAAGACACTCAAATATTTCTATTTTATATTCAAATAACGTAGAAAATTTAATACTTAATTTCTTAAAATTATTTTTACATTTAATTTAATTTTATATAATATAAATAGATGATATGGCTCTCCAATAGGCATTCCAATGGAGGATGCAGCTCTTGTGCATTTTTGATAGGCAATATATGGCTCTTATTGTGTCAAGCTTGGCTATCCCTGGTATATACCACATTTTCTCAATTTTAAGTAGCACNGATCATTTTATTTATAATTTATCAGAAGAAAACAGAAAGAAGCAATATCCATAAAAAAATTCTCTTACTTCTTTACTAAGTCTTGTGAATAAATCTCCACCTTTTAAAAAATCTAAGATGAGATATAATTTTCCTTCAGTTTGAAAAGCTGAAAATAAAAATAAATAAATAAAAAATTCTTAAATTTCTTTCTCTTTAAAGTACATACAACTTAATTAAATAATTAAGTTTTTAATTAATAATTTAAAGAACATCTATTCAAAATATTTTTTAATGCCACTAGCAAAATTAAAGTGACTGAATCTACTAATAAACATGTTTTCAAAATTAGCTTAAAAACTTCCATAATTGGGTGCAATTTGAAAAAAATTGTAGACCTATAAATTCCCACTGTCGTCCATATCCATCCGCCTGTCTTTCCCCAATCCCGAGAAAACAGTTAGATGAAAGATGAGACCAGATATGGAATTCTTAGGGGGAGATCCCAGTTTTTCCCCGAAAGGTGTTAGATAGATGACCGGCATGACTCTATTATTAAAGGAAAAGTACGATGTACAGTGGTAAGCCACTACTAATTTGAGGTGGAGAGCATATATTTTAAATTAAATAAATTTAATATATGGTTAAAAATTGCAGCCCAGCATTGTGATGATGTCACAATAAATAATTGCTCATTTATATATAATTTACTACTTTGTAAATATATTGCCTCACAACAAAAACGATTAGTATGTTCACTTTGTATTTTATCATAACTATAGCTTCAATATTCCTTCAAATGCTCACAAATTGATGTTTAAATCGAATTTTATTTTAATTAATTAAATTTCTAAAACTAACAAACAATTTTAGTTTCTTGTATATTTCTATATAAGTTATATCCCATGACAGAGAATATGGTATAACCAGAATAGAGTTTTATTTTTTAACAAAAATTTAATTACTTTTAAAAATCTATTTAATATTGAAGAGAAATAATATTATTTCAGTTGTTTAAGAATTTCTCTTCACTTACACCAATCTAATTAATATATAAATATTCTCTGTTGTCAGTATAATTACAATTTCCACCCACATATGAAAACAATTTAATAAAATATATTGATTTTTATAGCTCTTGTGCTATTAAATTTCACAAATGTGTCTTTATCAAGATATAAAATTGAATAACAAAGTAAAGAACAAAATTAGAAATGATAAAATGCGTCCTAAAAATTATAAATACTAGAGTCGTATTTAAGCAACAATTGTATGTCGGCTCGTAATTTTACGCATCAATTTACATTTAAAAAAGCGTCTTACCATATTGGAGTTTAACAATGAAAGGATGACTGACTTCGGCCAAAATGTCTCTCTCCATTTTTGTTCTCATTCTATCCCGAACTAAATAAATAAATAAATAAATATCAAACTTATAAAAATTGTGCTTAAGTTTTAACATTATTGTTTAAAATAAACATTATTATTCATGTAGTTTTAATTATATATATACATTATATTACTTGAATCTTTATAATACAGTACAAATCTACTTTATTATGCATTATAATAAACTACTTTAAATATATATGAATACTTTTCCATACATTTATTTCGAATCATGTTTATCAAATAAATTCATGTTTATGAATGAATATACACATTAAACTTAAGTATAATATATTTATATATGGAAATTAATGTCTTTTATTTTGTGATAAGTATTCATGCTACAATACATTAAATTTTCTCAATGTATAGCTTTTAGTAAAATCGATAAAAATGCAATATAATATCTCGAAAGACTGAGAAGGAAGCGGATCCTTAATTTACAAGAACTCTAGTAAACACCAGTAATTGAGACCTGTGGAGAGATTCCGTTAATAAAATGCAATCTTTCGTGGTAGGATGTGAGAAGAAGGAAGAAGATAATACAAAAGTAATCAAAAGACGGCCAAGAATGCTTTAATTACTTTAATAATTATATTATCGCTTGGTAAGTTCTTTTGCTATTTAAAGCAATGACTTATTCAAAGAATATTAATTTTGACAAAGACTTTAAAAATATTTTAAAGTTTAAATAAACAAGCTGCCATTCAACATTTGTCTCAGCTACATACATTTTTAATACTACTATACATTTATTATTATTTACTCATTCTTTTTCTCACATTAGATGACATTTACAACATTTCTCCTAAGGGAAAAAGATTAAGACATATAACAAGTTTTTTCCCATCAATAAGTAAATATTTTTTCCTTCAACAGGAAAATTTTTAATTTAGATTTATAAAAATCCACTCCATTTCTCTAATGTAATTAAATGAAAACAAGAATGGAGATAAAAACAATCTCTAATACTCTTGTTTTTTTCTTTTTTTTCCTCCTTTTGAAAGTTACGAGCCACTCTCTTTCATTAACGCCACCAAATATTTACTTTCGGATAATCTCGAATCAAACACGTCGTAAACGGCAACAATCAAATTATTATTAAAAGTAACTATCATAAACTTAAAATATTTAGTTATGATAATTAGTTAAAAAGCTTTTAGTAAATATAATGAGTTTACAATTAGATAAATGATTATCATCTCATTATGAATATAATGAAAAAGTAAACAAATGATAAACAATTTATGAAATTAAAAACTGTAATAAAAATGAATATAAATTTCAATATCATTATTCAAAGCACACTTATTATCTGACAAATTTGTTTGTGTGTAGTTTATTCTTGTCAGTTATGTTGCCATAGCAACTAGACTTGTTTTCCACTGAACTTTCACTTTTTTTTCCCCCTGTAACTGTGTAATTAGAATCAAGCTAAAAACAGTAAAAAAAAAAAAAAAAAAAAGTGTTTCTTTACTTCTTTATTAGAAACTCTTCTTATACAAATATAAACAGACAGAAAATTGCAAACAGAGAATTGGTCAATAATATTGCTTATCAAAGATTTACACAAAATTAATATGGATATTTTGTAAATAATTCAATTAAAAAAATACATAAAATTTATCAAGATTAGCAAGTTACAGATTGTGAAGTGCTTAATTAAATGAGTAAAAGACAAATCAAAAATTCTTGGAAAATTAAATTGCTTAAATATACTTTATAACATTAAAATCAAAAATTAGATCTAAGTTAGAATGTTTTGATGGTCCAAATCACAGTTTTGCCTAACATTCACTTAAGAGTTAATCCACACAATTGATAATTTGTGTCATTAGAATACAATTTCCAGACTTAATCTATTTACAGAAAAGATACATTAATACTTTAACGTATAATTAAAAGTAAACAATCATACAAAATAGTAACTTGCCCAGTCCTTTAATGTAGATTCTGTGACTGCAGAAGGAGGTAAGTTGATCGTCGATAAATTATCATTTTTTAATCAAAAACTGAAGTTTAAATTATGGAAAATGTATTCAAAAACAGGTAAATTTATGTTCACAAAAATGTCTTTCATTATAAAGAAGGATTCTTCTCATCCTTAGATGCTACTCAAACACTTATCTAGGATCTAGGACTTAGCATTTATCAAGGAGGTTCCCATTTTTAGAATAGAATAAGAAACTCCTCAACAAACATTTCATTTGGTCTTATATTTGTAATTGGCAACTTCCTTAACAGCAGTTTACAAGGAATTAAAGTATGGCAATCAATGAGAATTAATAAGAAACTACAAAAATACAAGAAATTGATTCAAAAAACTTAAAAATCACTGTAGTATGATTATCATTAGTTATACATGTGATATACTGGGCTGTATCACTTCAATTTAAATCATTTTTCCCCTAAACTCCCATCAATTCAAGATACAGTAATCTTGTTTTTAAATATCCAAGCCACTATTTTTTACTTCATACATCTATATTGCTCGATGATAGAATTTATATACAATTCTTTATTATATTTCAAATTGCAGTAGATTATTTATAAAACACTGTTTACAATAAATTCAAAACTCATTATTTATGAAAAAATTTAAAAAATTATATATATATATTGTTAATTAAAATAATTCATTAATTAATTGTTATACAAGTTTCATAATAATTAATATACACAGAGGAAAAGATATTTTTATTGTTGCCAATTTTTAAATCACAATTTTATTTTTACATTCTATTTTAATAAATAATAAACTTACGTAATTTTCTAGTTAAAAAGTATAGTTTTATTTCTAAATTCATAATTTATTATCTACATAATGAATAATACTAATTATATATACATATATTATACAACTATTGCTAATGAAGATTGTATAAAAATACTTCACTAAAGTATTATTATTATTATTTAGTAAAAATATAATTTTGATATCTACAAATAAATCCTTTTCTTATGATAAAATCAAGAATAAATTTTATCTTTGCAAGCATCTTCATATTTTTTTCCTCTAATTCCAATTGCAGATATCAACATATTTTCTTTCCAATTTGATTTTCACCTTAATTAAATTCACAAAGGAGAAGAGACATGACTTAATAGTTTTTACGTAAAACATTTCTAAAACTGCGTAAATGCTAATCATATCTTTGCATTAAAGTAGAATAAAACTTTAACATTTCAATATTTATAAAACTAAAAGATAAAAATATCTTATTTTCAATATTAATATCAAAATGTAGCGAAAGAAATCAAATAAATATAAACTGAAAAATTTTTATAAAATGCATAAAAAATAAATAATATATTCTTTATAATAATAAATACTTTACTATTCCATTTTCATAAACACTTATAAAATATTTAATATATTTTTTCTGAAAGAAAATAACTAACCTTTCAACGTAGCTTTCTTCAATACTTTCATTGCGTATAGAGTACCGCTATCAGGACCCGTAACCTTTTTCACTAAAAAAACCTACAATTCCGGAATTAGAGAAAAAAAAAATTATCGGTCAAGAATTTATTTTTTTTAGTTTTATAATATTTAATTTATTCGTTAGAAGTATAGATAAAGTATTTATAATATGAAAAAAAAAGGAATTTACTAATGCACTACTAAGTAGTTAAAAGTAACGAAAGTAAAGTACTATTAATAATTCTTTATTTCCAAAATCTTACAACTTCATAAAACTTTCAGAACATTTTTTGGATTGCCCAAATCCTTCTTTGGAAAACAACAGTAACAAAAAATAAAACAGTCCTTTCACTAAAAGAAAAGAACAGAAACTTATTTTTAAGTCGCAATTCTTTTCTGTTACTGCTTTTTAGTCTGTCGATGCCATAAGACTATTATTATTATTAATTGAGTTTTACTATAATTTAAGGGAATTAAATGCTTAAAAACTTTTTAAATAATTAGAACCTTTATCTGTAAAGTTATAATTATATTGGAGTATGGGCAGAGGAAAAAATAGATTGCCGTTTGCATTAATTATTCAGAACGGTACAGGATGCCTCGTGATCACGGTTGACATTTACAGATAATTTTTTTAGCTGTTTATTGGGTCAAATAAATAGTTTTTTTTTTTTCTTTCTTTCTTGCTATTTTCAAATGAAAAAATAAACTTGAATTTGTTGTTTGTTCATTGAAAAAAATTATTTTAAACTTTTGACAAATGTACAAACTAACAAAACCAATTTCTTTACACTGATATTCATTTACATACAACTTAATTAAACTTTCAATAAGCAAAAAAATACAGTAGTTTTTTTTATCAATATAACAAGAGGATAAAAACCTTTAAAATTTTAATTGTAGTCTCCCATCTTCTTTTTTAAACGAAAACACAGAAGTTAAAATTTAATTTTTACTTAATTCTTTCAATCTATTGGTCTTCATCAAACTAACTGCATTAAACAGAACCAAACAACTAACAAGTTCTTTTTATTTTGTTAACTGTTTGATTTCTATTATTGTAGTTACTCTGACGAAGACAATATAGAAGTTAAACGACTGAAGTAAAAAGTTAAATTTGATTTATTCTTTAATTATTCCAAATTAATTTTTGAAAGAAATATAATATGCAAGGAAAATTTATTAACTATTCCTCACAACACCACATTAAATAAATGTTTGGTATAGTAAATTTAAAGTTATTTAATGCCTTATATGTATCAAACACTCAATGCATAGTTTTAGGTTTTTTGATTAAACATGTGTAGATTAGTTTCATCCCATTTTCACAGAGATAGAAGACATTTTTACAATGATAACCTGCTTTGTCAGAACTGTACATACGAAGCATGACATTCCAGAATTATTAATCAGATTCTATAAAAGTCATTCAAAATTTAATTAAAGTATTTAAGCTACAAATAATACGTAAAATCATTAAAACTTCTAGAGCTAGATTGTACTGTACATTTTATAATTTTTATTAATTACTTTCACTAAGAAGTCTAGCTAAATAGCTCGTAGACAAAGTAACAAAAATACAAATACAGTATTTATGTTCAACAAAATTCACTCAGCAACTAAACTACACAACACCTTAAGTTGCAGAGAAAAATTTATTGACACATAATAACATTTTAATAAATTTTTCTCAGCAACTTAAGGCATTGTGGCATAATCAATATTTATATTTTAGTAAAGAAAAAACTTGCATTTAATATATTTAGAATTTTCTAAAAATAAATAAATCAAATAAAATCAACATTCAACTTATATATATATATATATTTTTTTTTTTCTTTATATGTAACAGTAAGTGTTGTTATATAAACCCCGCTGAGTTTTCCCAAGTGTCTTTGATGAAACTGAAAGACATTAATGACATTACTTTAAATTGATATAGTTAGAATGTCTGATTTCACCAACTTAAAAAACTTAAATTTACATATANTTAAATACAATTTTCATACATAGTATGATTTATTTAATACTGTTAATGATAATTAAGCTCTATTTAGTTATCATTATAATGAAAATTAAAAATTATTCCACTGAGAAAAATGTATATGAATTACAAAGAACTTAACGAATAAAAGCTTATTAAATAATAAGTAGAATATATTCTATATTAATGCAGAAATATGTATAGAAGACACTCAAATATTTCTATTTTATATTCAAATAACGTAGAAAATTTAATACTTAATTTCTTAAAATTATTTTTACATTTAATTTAATTTTATATAAACTTTTAAACAATTATTTTGTAAATTCTGTTAAAACTCTCTTGTTTTAGTAATAAAGAGGAATACTTGAAAAGCATTTATCTTTCTTAAACTTAGATTTGATTCAATTTTTAACTAACATCATTAATTGATTAAAAAAAATACATATATTTAAAAATTAACTGTTATAAAAAAGTACTTAATTTTAAAAAATAATGACATTTACTTACAAAAATCTCAAAGTAACAATTGATTTTTTAAAAATTTGAAGTAAATTAATTCAATTTATTTTAATTTATAATGACGTTCAGCATGTAAGAAATTAATTTGATAAATTAAAAAAGAAAATAACACTTTAAATGGTATTAATAATTTTGTTTTTAAATTTTAATTAATTATTTTTATAGGTAACTATTAAATTTATTTTTCAGATATTGTTTATAATTAAAATTACGTAGCGAACGTACTATAATATTCCTATTATTTTATAATTAGGGGATGTAAGAGAGAGAATTAATTCTCATTAATAATAACAATAAATCTTTTACTACAAAAAGTAATGAATATTTTGCTTGCAAGCAATAGTCTGTTTGGGTTAATCCTGTGTAAGAAGCGATTTCAATTCTCAAATGGAACAACAAATCTTATATATTACATATTAATAATCTCCATGTCTGAAGTATTTTTCAACTGACATTTAGAACTGAATGATAAAAACCATTCAAGTGTTCAGTTTTGATAATTCCATCACCCAAATATTATTTGGGAAGACTTAGGAGTCTTTCCGATTTACGTAGGATAAAATTACTTACATAAACAATCGATATTGAAATATGTGAATGAACAAAATTATTTTTAAAATGTTTATTTAATAAAAGTTATAAATTATAATCATTTAATTTAATTATACAAAAAATACTTTATATTAAATAATAGTTTTATTAATTAAATTTGGACAATAATAGATGACATTTAAAGCATTCTGACCTTTCCAAATGAACCTTGACCTAGCACTTGAAGCAATTTAAACTGACTTGGATCGGCTCTCGGGTGGCCTTCCTTCGTGATATTAGTGACTTCGATTTCATGAACTCCTTCGATGTTGTCGGAATTTTCCATTTCCACATTCTATAAAAGTGTATTCTCAAAATGTATTGACAGATTTAGAATCTAAATTTGAACTAAAAATATTATAAATAAATAAATTCTCCAATCAAAATAGAAATAGTTAAGTTATTTTCTTACAAATACATTACAAATTAATATATTTTAATTAAGCACAGAATGCTTTTTCATGTTTTTATTCCTAAAAAATGTATATTTAAAGTGGCATTTTAATTTGGTGCTTATCTTTACATTAAATAAATGTATGAATGAAATCTTTTAATTAATTAAAACAACAATTAGAAAATTAAATAATCATACAAATGAATACGAGTGTTAATTTGATAATCAAAGTTCAAATTACTTATTTGCTTTTATTATTATTGAAAAGATCATAGAACTCATTATTTAAGACAATAGAATAATTCTGAATAAATTTAAGGTTTTAAACAATGCAGAATATATTTAACACTCCTGTACATAATATTTTCTTGAATTATTTGTTTTCCTCTCTTAAGTCCCATTTCTTCTGTAATCCTTATGTTATATCATTGTCTACTTGTTAATCAATAAACCAAGCCAAACTAAGTATCCATAATAATTTTTTCTCACTAAAGTAAGCAAGGAAACATCCGTCTACAGTTTCTTAAGTAATTTCACTCTATGCCTCTACTTTTTTTTTATCTATCAAGATTTAATGCCTTTGTCTTGGAAAGACGTTATCAGACTTTTCCTATTGTATCCAAAATAAATAAAAGAATTTTTTCTTATAACAGAAATATTAAAGGTGGAGGGCAGATGTTCGTGCCCATCATTCTAGCCCTAAGCATGGTTGAGACTACTGCAGTGATCTGTCCCGAAAACAGGTCAGTCAGAGAGTTTAACTGGTCCGATATATATTCCAAATGATAATGCAGGTGTCCTAAGGCAAGCTTGGTGAGGACAAACTTTGCATAGAGCAAAACTTTTCATAAATATAGTAATTTATAACAATAATTAATACTTTTATTGCTTAAATTAAAATTTGGTTGCTTAAATGTTTAATTAATTGTTACAAATGAAACTCCAGTTATGCCAAAAATGTAGCAGACAATCTTAAAAATATTTAACAGCTCAAATTTTTCTTTTAAATTATTTATGCTCCATCTTTACGAGCATAAATTAATTCAATCTAAATATCTGTAAATACCAGAATATTTTTGAGTTACGCTTTAGGCTAAATTTTAATTAATTAAATGTATAAAATTAAATTTGACCTAACGATAAGTTATGCCTGCAAAAATTTGACCTAACGATAAGCCTGCAAAAAATGATCAATAATTAGAAATAATTTTGAACTTAAACAATTTAAAAAATCCCGACAGAAACAAAATTCTAAATTCAAACTTATTTCTAATTATTCATCTTTACACAAGATGGCAGCATCCTATCCTAAGACCAAATTTTTACAATTAATTAATTTAAAAAATTAGATTAAATATTGCCAAAAAGAATCTGGTGGTTAAAGTTTACATTTAGCTAATTTTAGGCCTTAGTTATATTGTATATATTTAAATATTGTGCTTCTGCAGATACAAAAAATGATGAAATTATCTAAAAAGTTAAATAATATATATCAAATTTATGATTTAATGATATTAATGTACTTCCAAGAGCTATTATTGATTTTTAAAATTAACATATAAGAGCAGAAACTGTATAATAACTAACTTTCAGAATTTAAAATAACACTTGATTTGAAAAATTTTGCAATTTCAACAATAAGTATTATTTAAATTATGTAAAAAAAAACTGTAAATAAATTAAAGTTTTAATGAAATTCATAATAAAAAGTCTTTTGTTCTTTCTCACACCTCAGGAAATAACAGTTTTATGGCAGAGTTGACCTTTACTTAGAGGTTACTTGTCCATTACAAAACTTCTCTCCGGTGACAGTATATGTAAAAAATATAATATATATTTGATAAAATTGCCAGGACAGTAACTGTAAATTCACAAAAAATAGAACAAAATAAGACTTTCTATTGTATAGCCTTTATTTCTGTAAATTTATGCTTACTATCCTGGCAATTTTATCAAATACAATTCTTGTTTGAGGTAGCACATCTCTGTGCCAATTTCAGAGGTAAACAATAGTGGTGCTAAATCAAAGTTGACCCAAATCATTAAGGAATAACAGCATTATTAAGTCCTTGGCATAAGAGGATAAGAGCATACAGTTTTGAGTCCAGATTGTATTCTCATAAATTTTTATGGGTGATTTTGACCCAGATATGTCAGTCTGTCTCATCCCTCACCACCTGATGATAAAAAACAAAAACTCAATGTTTCTAAATTCAAACTATTAGGGAGACTGTGATGATAAAGAGTAAAAGAGAAACCAAAAGTTAGATTGACTGTGATCATTAAGAGAGGATCTTTTAGTACTCACAGGGCATAAAAAATTGGATAGTTATAAAATTAATCATCATAATTATTATAACTAGAACTTTTATTCACAAGATTTTTGTTTAATCAATATGCTGGTACTTATGACTTTTAATGGGAAAATTTATTGTGTACAAAGTGTGAAAGGTAAAGTGGAAGATGGGAGGAGACACTCCCACCTCCCAAATTCGACCACAGTTAGAAATCAAAAGCCGACATAAGAGGTGTTGAAAAAACGTTTTATCCTTAAGTAACTGGCACTTATAATCCCCTAAGCTCTTGATTTTTGTCCAGTCTAATAACTAGGAAGTTTAATATAAAAATTTTCATAATTCCCTTTAAAATGAGCAATTATTTATTGTGACATCACAATGCTGGGCTGCAATTTTTAATCATATTTTTAACTTATTTAACTTAAAAACATATCTTCTCCATCTCAAATTAGTGATGGCTTACCCCTGTACATCATACTTTTCTGTTAACAATAGAGTTGTGCCTTGTATCTCTCTAACACCTTTCAGGGGAGGAGTTTTGTACTGAAATAATGTGACTTCTGGTTTGCATCAGAAGTTCATATATAGTTAATCGGAACTCCTATCCTTAAGGTTTCCACATCTGGTCTCATCTTTCGTCTATCTAACACCATTCTTGAGATTAAGGAAAGACAGACAGACAACAGTGGAAATTTATAGGTCTACAATTTTTTCAAATTGCAGTCCAATTTACTTAAGATTAGAATTACCATTTTTATATATTTTTACACCATACCTAATCAAGTCAAATAAAGAAATTTTATTTTAAAAAATAAGTTTATTTTAAATATATATTCGAAGCACTTTGCTATTACATTTCTATCACATTCTTCACTGAAAAAAAAATAAAATTAATCACTTCTTTATAAGTGGATAATTGATTAAAAGCACTCAAGTTAATCTTTCATTTTTCATTATTCTTTCTTTACTTGCCTATTTTTTAGTTTCTTATGTTTATAAAGTGCTTATAATGTTGATGTAGTAGTCATTTAAATTTTTTAAT